ATACGTATCAGGATACGAAACGGCAACGGAGATCAAAATAAGGTGTTAATGAGTGCGGATAGCAGCGAAGATAAAAATACCTCTCGGCTTTGCTACCAATTTTAGATTTTCTTCGCTAGAAGTTGGTTGTTTTAAACTTGATATCAATTTTTTTCTGACCTGTAAGCGAGAAAATCGATGGCATTTTATGAACAACATGGGATATTGCTTTTTCTGGTGAAGCCAATTCAACATCCAAGCATTTGTCTAATTTTCCTACGTAACGCAGCAGACAAGGGGTCATGAATAGGTGTGTTTGCCAAGTGTCGGCACGATAAAACAGGTGGAGACCCGAGCATCTGAAAAGCGACAACATGATACTCGAACAACGCATCGTGTTGCTTCAACGTGCGAGCAGAGCTTTGAAACTCCTCCGTAGAGAATATCGGGTGTGATGAGTGAACTGCATACATTTCCAATCAGCAATCATTTAAACAGCAGCCACAATTATTTTTCACCAGTTTTGTCTTCGACGCGGTTGAATAAATCACCAATAATCGCCTTGCGATTTGGTCGTTTCAGTGTAGTGGGGACTGAGGAAGTTTGGCTGCAGTTAAAAAACTTGTCAGGCCTCCAGTTTAGGTGGAAAATTTTCTTGGGCTCCGGTCAACCCTCAACGGACGCTCAATGACGTTTGAAAGTAGACGTCAGAATTGTCCATATCTGCTTGGCAAGCAGCAGAAGCGATTGCACCGAAAATGTACGGACAAAGTACCAAATATCACTGAGATGAAGGAGCACTTTTGAGGATTAAACATATATCAAATCCACAAGCACTTCCTGGACGAAAGGTAATAGCTCTGCATGGTGATTTGCGCATTACGAGTTGCCAGCGGATAGAACAATGTATTGAGTTAAATCGCAACAATCGTCACAGCACATCCCAAACAGGTCTTTTGAAATCTCGTGCAAGGTTTGCTCCATTAAGCAATCAACATTAGTTTGAACATTTTTTTAGTTCCGATGTACGCCCATCTGGAAAAAATAAAGCTGGCTTGCGATATTTCAACAATCGTGAAGCCAAGCAGATACCGAAGACTTATGTTCCACTACACCACAATGTGGGACGCTGTTAGTTTGTCACGAAAAGTAAGACTGCTCACATTTTTCAGGTGCCCTCAAAATTATACATACTGGAGCCTAGCTGCCTAATTTGTTCCACATAACCTGAAACACCCTAGCTACAGCTGTTCCTGTATTCTGTTGAAATTTGAGGCGCCGAAAGATAACTGGTCCGTGAAGGTCTGCTTGTTTTGAACTGCAATCAAGCTGTCGCACTGATTGCACGGATGACGCTGGAAATGAAAATGGTTTTACGGTTTTGCTTTGGTCCCATATTGAGCTTGAAGACAATTTAGAAGCAATTGCTTGAACATTTAACCGAACGACCTAGCGCTGTTATTGGCTATGATGCAAGGTCACTGCCACCTTACGTTGCTAAAGGTATTTTGTAATCGCGCTGGTCTACAGAGACATGTGGAGACATGTTCCTCACAGCGGGGATACCGTTGGAATTTGTGGCACATTGTGTCTCTGCAGTACATGTTACCGGTACTGAACAGGGATTCATGCTGATAAATGTGTGCGAAATAGTCGAGAGCCGAAAAAGGACAGTGACGCATCATGTAGGGATTCGGTGATATATGGCCATGTGCCGACGTCCCGTAAGGCTATATTCTAAGCAGAATAACCGTTCTCCGGTAAATTATTATGTGTGAATAAAGTTAAACTTACATAATTAAAAAAGCGAATGTTTTCCATCCCCATGCGTTGCGACAAGCGTCAAATGCAGCGGGGTAACTGCAATGCTTTCAGGGATATGACGCTAAGAAATCAGGTTGAATCAATGGCCCTATTTGATCAAGAATTTTAAGATTTCCTAATGCGGGCATTTTATGCTCTTTCCACAAATATGCACTGTTAAACAATATGAAGCAGGTAGCTCACATCCAATTTAATTTAGCTGAATTGCAAAGACAATGGCAATAACCTTTAAATAAACCTTTAAAATTATTTTAGCAGCGCAAGTGTATGTTCTTTGCACATGCCATCAATTAGTTGCTTTCTCGCGTACCAAAGGTCGCATTTAACTTAATCGAAAACAAAATGTTCAATGTGCAAAAAAACAGCATATGCTTTGCTTACCGAATGGCGCTCCTTTTGCTATGTTTTCTATGTTTTCAGACGACTCTTTCGTGCTGAAAGCTGTCCGCATATTGCATGACGGGGATCCACAATGGAGCTCTTTGTCGACAAACGTTCAACTGAATCGTTTATTTTATAACAGCAGTTTCTGAGATGCGATGATTGCGGGTCAAACATCTGGTAAAAAGCGCACATTACAAGGAGCTCTTTACTATCGCCGTTGATAACTTGTAGGATGCTCTTTTATTCTTAGCAGTTGTCTTGAAAATGCCGTGGTGGGGGGGTTGATCCAGCCACTTGAGTTTGAACGATTTTCGATAACTTTCACTAGGAAGATGGCGCCAAAAGGCATGAAGTTAGTGGGCGTTTCGTCCTCTGCTAAAAATATATGCAACGTATGTGGCACTAGCGCAGCATTATCCCATAACAAATAATTTTGGTCTTGAAAACCCAGATCACTGTGCATGTTGTGCATTTTTTCGTGTTCACTGACATTTTTGGCGGCAAATATTGGGCGATAACTAGAGAAAGACTGGTTGATGCAAGCACCTCTCCTCTGTGGACGTAGCTACGCTGCTTTCAAGCGGAATTTGGCAGGACAGGGAGTTTTTGTGTGGCTATGCCCACACAAATTACTCAGCGTATGTTTTTCGCTGTCAAATGTAAGGTTCCTTTGTCAGGCAGGCGATTGAACTATCCATGATTCTCATTAAACATGTATTTAATGACAAAAGCGTGAGGTCCTTGCTTTGTTTCTCTAGATTTTGAATAACGACAACGATTCACATTAAACAATTGTGTCGCGTTTGTTTTCAGAACGTCGTTTGCGGGAGGTTATAACGCAGCATGCAGTGGAACAAGAATTTTGCGTCAAAAGTGCAAATAACTGAAAAGGAGCCTAACGTAGATTAATGTGAATCGATAAGTGGTCAATAGTTATGAGTTAACTTAGAAGCGCTGCTGACAATTTACTGTTCATCTCTGCCAGAAATGTAAATAGTTGTTTTTGTCCCATATTGAGCCTAAAGTTGCCTTATTAGCCATTACCCAAACGTTCAACCAAACGTCCTAGAGCTGTCATTGGCCACGATGCAAGCTCAGTGGCAAAAGTAATTTAGTATCGCGCTGGACTTTAGAAGCGTGCGTGGAGTAGCGCTTATGTCTGTGTTCCTGCGGTACATGTTACCGATACAAACAGGTGTCAAACAACCGAAAGCCCAGAAAGGGCAGCCACGCATCAGCAATCACGTAGGAATTTGAGGATACACGGCAATGCTCTAATGTCCCGGATAGCTGGATTCTAATCAGATCAACAGCCTTCAAATAAGTTGATATTTGTAAACAAATATAAACAGGAGAAACTGGAAGCCGAGTGTTGTACGCACATGCGCATTTCCAAGAAACATATGTGATATTCAGGGTGGACAACGTAAATCATTCAAGGGTATGATGCTTTTGCATCTCTCTGAATCAATCCCACTGTTAGACTGTGGACTTGAATACTTATTAGCGCGGGTGTTTTTTGAGCTTTCAACAAATATGCGCCGTTAAACAATTCGCAGGAGGTAGCACTCATGCAACTAGATGCCACTGAAGGGGAAGGGTGATGGCGATCATTCTCAAATAAAATTTCAATCTTGTTATAGGAGCGTAGTTTGCTAGTCTTCAACAAAATGGGCGGTAACGATAAAGAAGCATGCTGCGTTAACGAACAATGCACATGCCACCAATTAATTACACTCTAGCATACCAAAAATCGCATTTGGCTCAATGAAAAGCAGTACTTTTTATGTGCAAAATGCATCACGTGCTTTTTTCACCAGATGGCCGCTGTAAGCTTAGGTCACTGCTCAAGAAATTCGTGTATTCAGACGGCACGTTCGTGCTAACAGCATGCAGCATTGCATGACGGCCAGCCGCAATAAGGCTAGCTGGTTTTGAAATACCTACTTATGTTGATTACTTCATGACAGCAGTTTCTCGGATGCGGTGATTGTTTGTCAAATATCTAACAAACAGTACAAGGAGTTCTTTACTAACGTCGTTGTTGACTTGTAGGATACATAATTATTCTAAGCTCTTATATTGAAAATGTCGTGGTGGAAGAAGTGGATCCACCCGCCGTGAGTAAACGATTTTTCATGACTTCCGCTTGAAAGACGGCACCAAAGGGCAGGAAGGTAGTGAGCGTTTCGTTCTCTGCTGGAAATATGTGTAACCTATGAGGCAATATTTCATCCTGATCCGATATCCATTGATTGTGGTCTTGCTGAAACAAGACCATCGGGTACGCGGTATGTTTGTTCGTGTTCACTGACACGTTAGGTTGCGAATGCCCGGCGATAATTAGAGAAACACTGGAGGGTGCATCTGGCTACGCTGTTTGTGAGCGGATATGGACAGGACAGGGGGTCTACACGAGGTTATGCCTCAGGTGTTTTGGCTCGGATATGGACAGGACAGGGAGTCTACACGAGGTTATGCCTCGGGTGTTTTGGCTGTAAACTGTAGAGTTCGTGTGCCAAGCAAAAGATTTGACTATCCATGATTCTCAAAAGACGTGTATTTTATGGCAAAAGCGTGATATCCTTGCTATGTTTGGTTACCGATTGAATAACAAAAGCGATTTACAATTAACAGTTGCGTCGCATCTGTTTTCATAAAGTTGTTTGTTGGGGGTTATAACGTAGAATGTAGGAAAACACGAATTTCGCGTCAAACGTTTAAAAAACTGAAAAGGAGCTCATTTTGAATCATGTGAATCGGTAAGTGTTACGTAGTAATGAGTTATTTCAGAAGCGTTGCCGACAATTTACCGCTTATATCTGCTCTTGGATGTTCAGTCGAAGGAAGACCAGTGGTCTGAAATCGATAAAACACAAAGTGAAACATATATCGAGCCTATGCAAAATTTAAACGTTCGGCGGCAAAAGAGCTCGTGTGAAATCAACCACACTGATATCAGTAAGGGGATTATGCGCAACTGGGACTTTCTGGTCGTCCACCTTGCACGCCTGGAAGATGCGATGCGTTTTAACTTACTTCTTGCGGAGAACACCACAAGGAGGGGCACAAACCTGTGTTTTCGGGAAACCGGAGGAAATCGGGCATTTTCGCTGGGTTTTGTTTGATTTAACAAAAGGCAAATTCAATGTAATGGTGAAGGATGACTTTCTGGCTCATAATCTGATACAAATAGTCCAGCAAAGATACACACTTAGGTCACCTGAACATGACAATCCTTGAGGTCTTTTCGACGCTCTGGAGTAATGCAGAGTTTCAGACCTTCTGCAGATTGTTTAATTGTGCTCGAGTATTAAAAAATCGGAAGGCGCGCCATGGATAGCGGACGACATTACTTCTCCTTTTTGAAATGAAAAGCATCTGATTATGGCCGAATACGTTTATTTCATGCTGTCTCACAACGTGTTTTCTCATCTCAGATGTTTTTAGTAGTAAGGCGCTGATGCACCTTTGAAGTCCCAAAATCCCGTGGAAAGTTGATTTAAGAACTTCCTCTGGTTTCGGTAGAAATTCCTCTCAGGTTTTACAGAAAACGATGATACAATTGCATGGTCAAACGGAATTTCTTTGAACCTTACCGCATATGGTGGTTGATTTACGACCAGCGTTTATTTTTTACCCAGGTATTTGCAATGTAAGTATCTGCACTGTAAGTGCGATTCAATATGCTCACTGATTTAAGCGTACACATGTTTGGTCGACTGGGTTTAGGAACAACGAGTTCTATTCACGCCGGTGCAAATCAACATGATCCAGATATTTTTTGAATGGCGAATTCTTTACAGGCACAAATATACAGTTGGACATGCACAAACGGTCAAAATCTGCTGCATTTACTTGATATCCATGAGCGACAAACCCAAGGTAGATGCCCATACAATAATCGCTGGTTAAAATCTCACAGCTGAAATAAGAATGAATAAAACTGGAAATATATCTTCTCACCTTAGTTTGGCACAGGCGCTAATATTACGTGATCGGGAAAACTACAGGTTACTTCAATTTTTCTAGATCATACTGCATAAAGCAGTAGCGCAAAACCAACCACTATTTCTCTCCATTGGACTTAAAGCAAATGCGGGTAACACGCACACTCTCAAGGAGCTCGTTTCTTTAGTGACTAGTAGAACACACCGTGTTCACTGAAACTAATGTAATTCTAGTTCTGTGGACGGTTCTGTGTATTGTCATACAGTGCATTCCTTGACGTCAGTGGATTGCAACAGTTTTCTGAACAGTTGGACAAACGTGTGCAAAGTTTCATCAAGGGGTTGACTTTTATTGACAGCATTTTCATCCGCGGCAAGAATGCACTAAACGTGCCTGTAGCCTTCCGGATTTCAACGTTGAGACACTGCCAATGTTAGCCCTGAGTCATGGTACCACTAAACGCAAGGTTCTTCATTGCCCACTGACAGATAATAACTGACTTGCGGTACAGTCGATCGACACAACCAAGGTGTGTTACCGAGACGTCGGAATATCCACTGACATCACTCACGCGCAAACATCTCCACCTCCTTAGACATGGAAATCCGGAGGCTTCCAACGCCCGCATATGGAACAGCGGCAACATGCTTGCCTCGCATGCGAAGTTATGGCGTTCAAACCAGAACACTGCAATGGGATATACACCACGAATGCGCTCTAATGAGGACGATTCTCTTCCTTTTGATGTGGATTCAGCAAGATAATTCATCGAGAACAAAAGAATGACTGATCAACCGACAGTCCTGCGTATGCATTCAGCTGTTGACGTGATTTCTGTAGTGTGGCGTTGAGTGCGTGAAACACAGCCCAGGTTAATACGTCGTATTAACGTTAATGCAACCATTGATACAGTTTCAATACATTTCTACTTAAACACAAACCAACTTCTCAAACGCAAAGTAGTCAAATAAAAGACCAGTTGAATTTGGCAAACAAAATCCACGTCTTCTTGAAAATCGGTCGCCTGGAACATAGTCTACAACCTGGTTATGTTGCGGAAACCTCTGTTGGGTTTTTAGGATGTAACCTAAACGGACAGTGGTGACTTCTTTCTGAACGGGTTTAGCCACTGAGCACTGTTTGTTGTTTCACTGGATTCACTTGAAGCTATCATGGTAAAGGTGTAGATTCATAACACATGGGCTGTTCATTTCTTGATATCCCTTTTCCAACATAAACAAGATGTTATTCTACCTTCTCCGAAGCATGAAAATTCACAGCGGTATTATTGTTTATACTATCTAACCCATCTTTCTAAAGTCACAGTCCTCATTGAAACAAGCGCATCACACGTTTTCCGTTTTCCGATAGGATTATTTTATCATCTCAAATAATGCTTCGCAGAAGATTCCCTGATGGCGTACGTTGTGTTGTTATAATATCCCACATAACAGGATTCAACCACACGGACCACATTTGACAAAGATTTTTCTTCTACAAAGTGACTAAATCCTACCATCCTGCTCCTTCAAAAAAAGAACCATAGTATCCTTTTTAGGACGCGTTGTTAAAAATTTTCTCGTTTACCACCCGGTCTTAGTCCAACCCCTGCAGAAATTCTCCATGACACAACTTTGAATTAAATTTCTTATTCCAGATTAACGCAAAATTCAAGGATTTATTTCACACTTCTAGCATCTAACAAATGAATATAATGGCTTGGAAGTAAAGTTTGGCGCGACTGAATGCAAAGTAAATAAATGCTGAATATCGCTATGTAACAGTGGTGCAAACGGTGTGCCCATAACTGCGGAAATTTGGATAGACAAGGCATTTTTGAATAGCACCCGGTAGCGTCGATTTAATTACAGTTTTTAAACATTTAACAAACGTCTAGAACTTATGAAACTAACTTCCTTCTGGTGGTTTTCCGACTTGATCAGTTTGATTAGACAAGAAATCAACGCAGTAAGATAAGAAATTACAACATTTTGAGTCTCTATTATTGTTTAAAGTCATCTGCTGCAAAGTTATGCCGTCCCAGCTACAAACTTGACGCACCCGCTGTTTATGTGGACTGATATGAGAAGATGCAAACGCTCATTATTCACTCTACACTAACAAATATTGAAATTGTGTTAAACCATATGAGATTGTACATTATCGTTATTTGGTTCAACCAAAATTCGTGAGACTGTGGGAAGCTTGGCCATTTGATACTGGTATATTTTTTAATATAGAAACCGTGTGTTAAACCATATGAGGTTGTACATTATCGTTATTTGGTTCAACCAGAATTCGTGAGACTGTGGGAAGCTTGACCATTGGATACTGGTATATTTTTTAATATAGAAACCTAGAAATGAACACTTAAATTTGCAACTTCTTATTGTTGCCTTGAAAGCCAAAAAGTTTGCTTATGACTTCTTGGTTCGGTACGCTGCGTTGGAACTTTAAATGTAACCATATTATCCATACCACTTGAGCTTACCTGTTTTCAGATATTGTCACTCTTGAATGTTGCAAATAACGGACGTTATATCCACGGTTCAAAAATAAATTTATAGTTTCTGATAAATAATTGTGATATTGGCTTTCGGAAATACAACGTTAAATGTTGACCCACATGCAACTGCAACCCTTGAATTCGTTTTGTATTTTAGCGCAACCCGTGTTTTAGCTAATTAATGTTTTTCGCTTATGTTAAACGCACGCAAAATACAGGTCTTTTTAAACGCAGGGTTTAAGCGCAAGCTTTATTCAAAACCACGTTGAATCCAAGTTTTTTTTAATTTTATCCATGAAAATCAAGGCCAGCGCGCGTGCACATTCACCATTCATCTTTGCCGCCGACTGTTATGCTGTGCACATTGTTACGTAGTGTTACAAGGCCGTTGTTTTTCTCGCAAGTTCTCAAACTTGCTTATTGCTCAGATAATTTCATAATCAACCCTAAACCAAAAAGTGTTATATATTCCATAATTCTACTTGGGGTATCGCAATGTATAGGTCTTCTCAGATGTTTAAAAATGGACGCTGAATAACTATTGATTTACTTGTTTCTAGTTAGCTTGAAAAGGGATCATTTTGAGGTATTAAATACTGCAAAATTGGCCGTGTATACTTTCAAGTTTTCAGTGTGTATTCAGGAGGATTTTTGGGTACGGGTTTGGACAATTTTGTGTAACAAAAGAAATACATTACCGCGGGAGAAGTGTCGTTAGGTAATCGAATCAGGTACTAACATTCTTTCAGCGTGTACACATGAAAATAAAGACGACGAAAAATTTTCAAATATAATGACTGATCATTAGAGCGCAAGCATATTTTCTTCTTGGGGACCTCAGAAACGTTTTCACTCAACTGCATTATTGCGTGGCTAACTGCTTACTCTGAAGGCATCTGGTAAAAATTTGTATACGAGTACGCAAAAAAATGACTATATAACTTATTTTTACAAAGGACTTCAAAGTGCCCTAACAGCGTTAAGGCATGTCCTGTAGTCCATAAACGCCATGCGCAATGCTTATGTAGACCTAATGATTCACAATTCAAGTGTGTAACGTCAAATTTGATATTGTTATCCTTGGATAAAATATCTGAACGCTTATTTTCAATTTTGAGACGCCGCTAACGCAACGCACTTGTTAAGGTTTCTGCAGAATGTTGATCTTATGGTGACTCGAGATAATCTTTTTTACTTGGGTGTTGATGATAAAAGTGTCCGTTGCACCTTCCAAGGCGACTATGCCTACATTTAATATGTTTTTACGCCAATATGTACCGGTTAAAACTGCTCTATGTATGTCAGTTCGAAAGTAATTAAATACGCAACAAAATTGCAGGTGCGTCATAAGGACGTGGAATCTTGTTGATACCACCTTCAGCACCACAAAACCTAGAATGAAAGTTCATCACGCGAGCAATGCAATGAACAGGAAAAT